AAAAAAAAAAACTTTAAAAAATTTAAAAAAAAATGGGCACCCCCGTTAAAAAAAAAAAAAAAAAAAAAAAAAGCATGAAATGTGTATCTTTGTTCACGCTGAATCAATTTTAACTTTATTCATCTTCTATCTTACTTGTATGACTGCGGCCATAAACTCAGCTCCGACATCCAGAGGGTAGTTCTCCATCATGTAGAAGGCCACTGCACACATCACCAACACATGCTGCTGGTTATGCAGGTTCACACAGCTGCAGAACGGAGACACAAAGCAAGCAGGCAGAAATTACAGCTCATGTGAATGAAATGTCGACAGCAGCATCTTGAGGCAAAAAGATGCACCGATTTCTCGCTTCTATTACGTTATTAAGCTGGATTAAAAAGAAACTAATTGAATAACAGATCCTCTTATATTGCAGGGGGAGGAGGATTAACACAGCGACATTAAACATTTTGGCTCCCTGAGAGTCTTTCATCACGGCTTAAAGTCATCAGAGATGAACCGAGGTCAGCGTCTGTGCGCTTAGTGTGTTTTAGAAGGAGAGCAACACTCACTGAGCAATGGCCTTGAGGTTTGACAGAAGGTACTCGGAGACTGTGGGGACGAGCTGCTTAGCCGTGTCGTCCAGCAGGTCACACTCCAACACGTAGAGCACCCCGTGCAGAGCCCCCATGCGGCTGGGCAGGTGGGTGCTGCGCAGCGTCGTCTCCAGCAGGCGACACACCGGCTCGGCTATCGCCTTGTCCTGGAAACGTCCGAGCAGTTATCAAGAGTCAGGAGGCGGACGGCGGCAGCTTGTACGGCCTCCGGCGGCACCCCGACCCACTCACCATGCCCAGCACGGCAGCAGCCTTACAGATGGCGGGCACCAGGTACTGATTCAGGATCTCGTCTTCGGGCGGGTGAAGCTTCTGGAGCTCCATCAGGGTGGAGAACATCATGTCGAACTGGTTCCTCTCTGTGAACAGGTCCGACACCGCCAGCAGCTGCGGAGAAACGCAACGCTGATTAAAGCCTGGAGAAGCTTTTCTCCCAGGAGACACAGGTGTATCTTAGTATATTTAAATGCATAAGGTAGAAAAAAAGGAATTCAACTTGTAGAATACATCTTTCTTATTTCATCTCATAATTTATTTGAACAATCAAATAAATGATTCAATATTCTGTGTGTACTGAAACCATAAGCAAGTTTGAAATATACTCCAGATTTCTTGATATTCAGAAAAAAAGCAGACTTTTGTTTCCACCACAGAGCAAAAAATGGTTGTTTAAGTTTCACCTTTAAATCAGAAACAATAGACTCCTCTTATTGAATTCAGGTGAACAGATCTTTAGCTGAGCTAATGAGAAGATATCTGCTGGTGGTGTCCAGCTTACCGATCGGACCACTTCACTGATGAGGATGGTGGGCGTCCTCCTGTTGCTGGGAGAGCCCGGGATCAACCACTGGCTGTAGAGCTCCAGGAGAAACTGGGAACATGAATGAATGTCTACACCTGCACGGTGCTTCCTGAAAACACAAAAACATGAGTTTAGAGTGTGGACGGTTCTCTGGAGAAGGATGTTTTATCTACACAGCAATCCCTCAAAACAGACAAAAAAAAATAAAAATCAATAACGGAGACAGTAAAAACTCAAACGGACCTCGAATTTATCGGCGATAAAGGTGGGGAGGTCGGCGCCGGAGTGTCCGCTTCGTCTTCTTCGTCCTCACCCCATTCTTCCTCCCTAAGAGGAGTGATGTTATTACCTAACCAGACTGAATGGATGGAGACCTGGAAAGGAAACGTGCCAAATGAAACGCAAGTTAGCAACCGATATCGTGTTCCTCAGGCATTACTGTTTCCTCGTCTTACCTGCCCCAGTTTGTAATCCATGTTGCCCAACTCCCTCTCTGTGTTGATCTGAAGCAGCAACTTCTCGTGGCTGATCAGCGTACCTGCCGAAAAAAAAAATAAAATAAAAAAATCAGGTGTAAAAAGTATTCAGACATTTTCCAGAGCAGAACAGGGTAGACCGGACGGAGGGCTACCTGCAGAAGCAGCCGAGAGTGAGGGCACAGGGTCCCAGGCGTGGTACGGGTGGTGTGTGCTGACGTTGTCCCTCTTTGACACTAGAGCCTGAATTTCTCGCTCCACTTCTCCGCGAATCACAGCGAGTTTCCTTCCAAACCTGGACAGGGAGGAAAACGCCGTCCATGAACGACCCTGTCTGATAGTTAAGACTCCCTGTGATCGGACAGACAGAAACGAGTGCGCCGCTACCGTGTTTCCAGAGCTTTAAGGCTTTTGTTTCGGGGCTGCTGTTCCAGACAGCTGACTGCGGGGTTGCCAGCAGTGGGCAGGGTCATGGCGCTCAGCACCAGGCTGGTGATAGCCTGCACTGCTAGCACGTTTAACTGGGTACGCTCCAGGTCCTCCTAGAAAACAGGTGAAGAGGGAATAGAAGATGAATTCTTTACACCCCTCGTTCTTGTCATGTTAAAGAACCATAAACGTTGAGAATTCTTTATTAAGATTTTATGTGACAAGACCAAAACAAATTACAGTCAACTGTTGGAAGGATGTGATACATGGCTTCAGATCCTCTGACTAATAAAAATCGGAAAATGGTGGCATGCATTTGTACGCCACACCCTCTACTCCGATACCCGTAGATACAATCCAGTGAATCCAAACGCCTTCATTTGTAACTGTGTTTTAATCTCAGCTGTGAGATTCGTATTGTTTTAACGAAGATATAAAAATCCAGTTTATGACTTGTTAAAAAGGCACAAAGAAGACTCAAATTCTTCTCACCATTTCATCCAGATGACATCTAAAATTTCCATTATGTGTTGCTGTTCTACCATCTTTCCTATTAAAAGAGAAGATATTTTGCTCTTGATGAGATATAAATGTTATGTTTTTTTTAACCTTGTGAAGATCAGAAACTTCTCTCGTTTTAACAAGTTTTGCACCTTTCTAATAACGAGGAACTTTTTGCTCCCAAATTTATATTTAAGTTTTGGCAGTTTAATGCCTCCGTAACAAACGCATCCCATGAGAGTAGTAATAAAATTTGGCTACGTAAATTTAGGCGTATCAAACCACATCAATACAAAGCACAACTCTGTGGTCGTCATTCCCATTAAATTAGCCTGTCCATTTCCTTTCTATACATTACTGCTCAAAAGAGAAAAGTTCTTGCTTCCAGCTGCATATACCTCTTGCTGAGTCTCTTCCTCCTGATCCATTGTGATTGGTTGGGTGACCAGCACCCCCAGCAGAGTGGCCCAGGTTTCCTCAAACTGAGTCCTACTGCTCCAGCCTGAAGAAAAAGCCCAGGTTAATTACAAAATGGACATTAAGGTTCATTTAAAAAAAACATCAAAGTAAAAATTGAGTCATTATCGTTTTTGGAAAGCCCTATATATCCAGTGCATATCTGTACCCAATGTGTTGATGCGGTAAAGGAATTCCCTGAAGACGTCCTTTTCCTGCAGGAAGTCCACAGGGATCTCAGGCAGCGTTGTGCCAAATTCTCCACCTGGTTGTGGGGACCAGCCCAGTTTCCAAACCTGAACACGAGCGCACAGGGTCATTAGAAACAATGTCAATTTATTTAAAACCAAAGTGCTGCACAGTATTGTTAAAACCACTCATAAAACACATAGGAATACAAAACAACAAGACTCGTTTTCTTCCTGTCAGACACCAACCAGTGGAGGTACTCTGGTGTAGCTGTTGACCAGAGGCAGGCGTGAAATACTGATGATGATGTTTCGCAACGTCGGCGTGAGGAAAACTGGAAACGCCCGGTTCCTCGGGTGACCCAAGGAGAGGATGCTCTGCAGTCCTTCCACCAGTTCTGCCATGATCTCACATGCTTGCCACTCGCATTGGACTGCAACAAATAACCGTCATTCAAGCAGGACCAAAAGACAAAATGCACTAAAACAAAACTTGCGTTATTTCTGAACCACTTCTTACTGTTGAGAAGAGCCGAATCCAGCTGATCTTCACCGTCTTTTTCTCCTCGAGACTTTTTCTTCTCTGGATGCAGCAGCCGGTCACCAGGATGAACAGCCACTGAAAGGCAAAAATATATATGTATATATGTATAGAGAGAGAGAATATAGACAAAAAAACAACAACAGAGTTGTACAAGAATGCTTTGCAAAAAATTTTCCTGACCAGCAGCAATGGTGAGGTGCAGGCAGTAGATGAGGGAGCAGGTGTACGTCTTGTACTCCAAGGTAGAGAGCTTGTTCCACACACAGGGCTGCTGCAGGGCCAGGCAGAGGCAGGACAGAGCCCACTGCAGGTCCACGCTGAGGGGCAGCTGGTCCTGAAGCAGCCACCATGCAACCACCTGCACAAATACATTCACACGCACGAATAAAAGACGGGATCTACTGAGTATTTATGTACTATTGAGGGTTTCTGCAGGTTCCACCAAACCAAATTTAAGACTTTTTAAGACCTTTTTTTGAACAGTATTATGAATGGATTTTAAGACCTGCAACAATGTACAAAAGAAAATCACAAATTAATCATATGGGTTGGCAACAGAAGCAATCCAGCGGATGAGATGAACGACGTCCGACCAACTATCAATAAATTTGCATTTAACCACGATAGATGTAAAAAAAAAAGAAAAAAAAAGAAAGCTAGCTCGCTTTACACTTGCTAAAAACTAAATAGAAAACTATACAACATGTACAAGGTTAAATAGTCCCATAAGATCTGTTATTAATGTATTTAAGCCCAACTTATTTTTTATTTTTAATTATAGGTATTTCAAGATCTTAGCTTTAGACAAATGAATTTAAGTCTTATTAAAGATGCACAGACACCCTGACTGATATAAAAGATTAGATTTTATTTAAATATAGTGCCAGCAATCTATCTTCTAGTTAAATTACTCTGAAGTTTTCAAAAGGCTTTCAAACAACTCTCATGCTTGTTGTTATTTTACCTCAGCCGCCATGCAGGTGAAGGAGGTGATGAGTTGCTCCTTGTCAGAGGGAATATGTAGTGATGAAGGTAGCTGATTGACACTCAACAGATACTGGGACAAAGCTCTGCAGAGGGCCAGAACCCTGGGGTAGAAACCCGGCTTGTCTGAGGAATAAAAGGAAAATACAAACATAAAAGAAGAAACATCAGAGGACAGTGAATGTTTTATTGTTTTTTGTTTTTTTATACAGTACAACAGAACAAAAGAAAAATCAACTATTTTTAATACCACAACTAACAGGACAAGATCCATCTTGTTTATTTTCCTTATCATAACTAAAATAACACATCACTACATTTTTCTCTATCATTATTGTAACCGTAATGATCATCATCTTCCAGATAATTTTTTAAATATATTTCCATATAAAAATTATTAAAATTTTCATATCATATTTAACGATTATAATTTTTTATATCACTATCATTATTAGTCGTATCAATATTAATAATTTCCTTTGATAATAATTACCACTAATATTAATCATAGTTGCTACATTACAGTGTCGTCATTATAGCCATCACTCATAAATATCATCACTAATATTTTAGTTAACATCACTAACCCAATTTCCATAGCTAATTTTACATCCAGCATTATTATTATTATTATCATTATTATTATTATTATCATCACTGTTACTTTCACTATAATGATGATTATTGAAATCCTAATTTTTAAAGCCCTGCTTCATATTCCAGCTCCTCTCCACGTCTCACCATACACGTCACCCAGCTGGTTCCAGTATGGCTGGGGGTGAGGTGGCGGCAGGAAGGACTGGTGTGGGGCAGGAAGTGACCCCGTGACCTCTTCTAGCTGATTGAGGGTCACCTGCAGGGCCGTCTCCAACAACAGAGATCCCTGACCCCGGATTAACCTCTGCACTCCCAAACCCAGGCAGGGACACAACAGGCTGAGATTGAAATCCTGGAAAAAAAAACAAAAAAAAAACAGTTGAGATGAAATTAAATTCACTTCTGCAGATTATTGTTAATACGAACAATTGCCTCTATGCTCCATTGGGTGTTTTAAGCCGGTGCTTTGGGTTAACGTAATTGTTTTATTTACCTTGCAGCTCATAACGGAGAATAGATCAGCAGCAGGTAATTTAGTGAGAAGCTCTGTTGTTTCGAGCAGGAAAACATCTCCATGGAGACAGCACTGCGACTTCACCAGAGCAACATACCACTCCTAGAAAAAAAAAGAAACAGTTGCCAACAAGAGTTTTTTTTTTTTTGCGCTCCCACCCCCCCACACTCTTAAGAACAATTGTGATGTTATTTACTTTTGATAACAATCACTACCTTGTCGGCAACAACCTTTTCTGGGGCTATGGGTGGATCCCCATCCAGAGGGTGGGACGTGACTGGAGGTGCTGGGCTGCTGGTGTCGGCAACAGTGGCTCTGAACCTGTCCAGCAGGGAGTAGAACCTCTGATGCCTGCCACGGGTAAACAGAGGAGACGACATTATTCTTAGATTTGTTTCTTTCCTTATTTGAAAACAATAAAAACTGAACCACATGCGAAAAAGAATACCTTTGAGCTAGCCCGCTGGTCTGGAGGTATTCCTGAATCCTCTCCAGTTCCTCCACAGGCAGCTGGGCTATGCTGTTCTGTAGTGGTGTAAATATGGAAACAATCAGGCCACTGCTCCATTATAACGTTGTTTTAAATAAAAAAAATAAATAAATAAAAAAATGTCGACCTGTTGGTATTTATTTTCATTACACTTCCACAACACATTTCCTGCTGCTCTGGATCTTACCTGCAGCGTCTCAGCCAGCAACATTTCCACTCTTCGGCACGCCAGCGTGTCCACCATGCGAGCTAAAACCCTGAACGGCGTGTTGAGCAGCTTGTCCACATAAAGCATGAGCAGAGAGCCAGACTGACTCAGGTGGATGCCTTCCAAACACTGTAAAGTCTTCTTTAGCATGGTAGGCTGTGGATTTAAGAAAAGCAAAGAAAATAGGAGAGACGGGGAAGCAGTAAATAAAATAATCTAGATTTTCAGCAGAGGAGAGGAAGGAGGGGGAAAAAGACAGTTTTTAATCTTACAGTGGGGAGATTGTCGCATCGAGACTGGATCGCCTGAATGAAGAGGCCACTGGCGGCAGAGTTGCGGTGGACAGCGCTGATGAAATCTTGTACTGGAGGCTCATGGGAAAGACTGATGAGGTCACGCACGTGGTTGACGATCAGCCAGGTCAAATGCTCCGAGTCGTGGAGATTCTGACACTAAAAAGTAACGCAATTGAGCAAAAAGAATTGCATCCGCTTCCTGCCACAGAGTCCAAGATTCTATAGGTGACATGTTATGCTTCCTTGAACAGGTTAGGATACAGGCTAATACAAAAGACGTTCATTACTTTTTTTTTTCTTTTTTTTTGTGCACAAAATCATTCTTAGATAATGAGATTTTAATAGTAGTCGTATTCTCACCACGTAGTCACAGAAGAGAATCAGAGCTCCCCTGCGTACAATCTCCCTGTTGACCATTGCTAACCGGGACTCTGGTTTTTCTTCCTCTTGTCCTTCACCAGAGGAGTGTGGACTTAGCAGCTTTGTGCATGAGAGGCTGTGACCTCTGACAAGGAGGGGGCAAAAAGGCACAGCAAGAAAGCATGTCTTTTAATAGCTTCATAGCATTTTTATCAGCTCATGTACAGAACATTTATGAGGGTGATTCTATAAAACGAAGGATCCCATCTAGTTTCTCCTCACCTGGGAGTCTGATGAACCTCGGCCCACCACGAATAGTTAGTGTAGTTAATGATGAGAAGGACCTGGCACCACAGCAGCACCAATGGCGGGTGGGTGGTGACGAGGCTCTGCACCATGCTGTTCAGCCCCTCTAAAGGGTAGTAGAGGCCGGCCTCCGGACCCGGCTGCCCGCCGCCCTCGCCCTTCAGGAGCCGACTGGCTGCAGTCGTGATCCTGCGAAACATTCCTGGAAACACAAAAGTCGAAACGTACTTTGTGAATTTCATCGTAAAAAAACATGACGTAAGACACTCTTTTTACAAGCTTTAATTTTGTAAAGAACTCTTAACACTGGAACTGAAAGATCCTTTAAATATCCAAAATAAAAACACAACAACCAGAAACGATAAATAAACTAGATTATGATGGACTGCCATTAATTATCAGAATGGAAATGATCAAACTCGTTTGAATTTTTTATGCGATTCATTGCGACAGGCTTACTCACCGCTTTTAAAAATATGAATGAAACACATGAGCAGCGTTCCCAGCTGCTGGCAGTAGAAGGTGTGCTGTTGCTCCGTAATGTCCACTTTGACCCGTCTGCTAGAAATATCGTCAAGCAAAACCCCGACCAGCTGCAGCAGGAACCTAGAGGGACGAGGAATTTCTTTTTTAGTTACTCATTATAAACAGTTTGTCAGTCATGTTGCTTTTTAGAAACTCAAGAGTTTAACCCACCTTGCAAAGGTTTCTTCAGGTGGAACCTTCTGCGCGTCTTCGCCGGCTTCCTGGTCACAGCTGGCGTCGGCGGCGGGCGGGCTGCTGGGGGACGGGTTCTGCTGATGCAGGCGGCGAATCGTGTGGCAGGAGAGGAGGTGTGGGGAGAGGGACAGCTCGTGGACCCGAGACAAGACGATGTCCTCGGTGGACTGCGACACGAGTACTCTGAGCACCGCCAGGATTCCAGACACCCACAGCTGGACTGTAGCGACAGATGCCTACAGAGGTGCGGACGTATTTTTATTATTTTTTTTTTATCATTTTCTAATCAACAGACAAACTTGCAGGTTTGTTATTGGAGCACAAGTTGTGCGGCGGCCAGAGTGACCCATTTATTTCCAGAAATGTCTTGTAGACGCTTTCCAGCAATGTATTCTCACCATGGTGACGGGGATAGTGAACATGCTCTTCAGCAGCATGTCGACTGGTCTGAGAGAGGAGGGGGCCACAGTCTCAAACAAGGTGTTCAACACTCCTAACGCCTCTGGAGAGTCCAGCAGCATCTGCAACATAAGAAAAGCAGGACACAGAACATCAGGATGGTTAATCCTGCCTTATCTAAGAAAACAAATAAAGCAAGATTAAAGAGATGAATATTCTGCTCAACAATAACCTGCTGCTTTGCAATCATAGGAAGAATAACATCTGCGATCTGCCTGGACAGTCTTTTCCACTTGTCCTCATTCTCTTTGTGACACTGCTGCAGAACGAGAATGAACATCTCCAACACCTGGAACGAAAGGCATGAAGGCACATTTAGGTACGAAGACCAAAGAATCTAGGACAACGTTAGGCTGCTGCTGTTGTTGTTGCATCTCTGCATACCTGATGGTACTGCACGAGTCTGAGAAGCATGGACACCACCACTTCCTTCTGAGTGTCCAGCTCTTTGCCTGCATCTGCTTTGTTTGAACCTCTCAGCACAAAAAGATCATAAACTATAGGCTGCAAGGCAGGAATGGCTGTAAAAAAAATAAAAAATACACACAACCTGATTACTCATTAGATTTTTGGAGGATTACTTTCAAAAATACACTCTAAAAGAACAAAAAATAAAACTGTGTGGAAGAGATGTCGATAATTGTGGTACATGGCGTGTTTTCCTGCGTGTCCTCTCACCGTGGGTGACCGCTTTCCTGCCGCTCGCCATGATGCCGTCGCACAGCTGGATGATCTTGGGGATGCTGATAATCTGCTTGGAGTGGTAACGTTCGTAAGACAGCAAAACCAGGAAGAAAAAGATGTTTGGGATGATGGCTTCAGAATCCCTGAGCAGGAGGAGCAACGGTTAGATCGGCCGACAGAGTTTCAGAGGAGGAGAAGTAAAAACACGAAAAGAGAAATACCTGAACTGGCCCACTTCGATATATTCAAACTGCTTCAGGACAAAGCCTATGAAAACCTGAAACATAGAAAAAAATTGTTGCGTTACGGAAAACGATGATGGAAGTTCATATGAGCATGGAAAAAAAAACAACCAAAAAAAAAACAAAACAATGTTTTTAACCTGATCCGAGTCCAGCAGGCAGTAATTGACTCTGAGCTGCACAAGCTGGGCCAACAGGTCCAGAACCTGTCTCTGCAGGGCCACAGAGGTACTGGTGGTGTACTGCTTCAAAGCTTTGATCACAAGCGGCTCAAACAGACGGATGTGGTTGTGAATAGCATTCTGAGAGAAAACAAGGTATTCAGTTAATTTCAGGGCAAAAACAGCATGCATCTATATATGAAAAATCTAAAGCGTAATATCAGCCTTCAAAAAGAATAATTTAGGTGCACCTTGTCTCCTCTGTGACGTGTAGCGTTGGCGATGTTGGATCTCAGCTGATTGGATGCTTTTTGCATAACATCAAACCATCTAAAACATGGAAGAAAGGAAACATAAGTGTACTTGGCAGATTTTATAGCAGAAACATTCATGTAACTTGAACTTTTTCCACATTTTGTTTCTACATTTCATGTGGTTTAGCAACACAAAGAAGAATATAATACTAAAGCATGGCAAGCATTTATATTACGTCTTTGCAGAATTGCTTTCCCATCCAAATGCAGCTGCAAGTCTTTTAGCAGCAGTAACTTACTTTGGAGGATTTTTTTCCCCCAGTGCAAATAAAAACAAAAGTACGGAAAATAAAAAATAACCACTTCATACCTTGTAGCATGTAGTTATAATGTGACAAAATGTGAAAACGTAGCTCTGGCATTTAAAGTCTATTCTTCTCTACGCAAACAAAAACAAGCAACACGCGTCATACGATGGAAACGAGCGCAGCAACGTTACCCCGAGGTGTCCTGCTCCTGCTCAGCCTGCACCATGTTACGGAGGCTGGCATCAGCCAGAGCCTGGGTGAAGTGTGTGTACGGAGCCATGAAGCAGTAGTGGTAGAGGCCCGGGCGCAGGCTGGACGAGCCGAGGCGCAGGGCTTTGCCCTGGGAGCGGCTGGGTCCGCTCAGCACACTTTCATACTGGGAAGCCAGGTTGGTCCCGAACAGCGTCTTCAACAGCTGCAGAGGAAATCCAAAACCTTTCAGAGCACAAGTAAACTGAAAATCTGCAACATAACCAAAATATGGACATGACGTATCACTTTAACCATCACCTTGACTTAAATAGTGATTTTTTTTTTTTTTTTTTGCTTTTTCCTACCTGGTACAAAGCAGCCAAATAAGGACTACATGAGTTAGTTCCTATAAAGCAGTGTATGGAACCATCGCACAGGGAGACCAATGCCTTTACAGGCCCTGTCGGCAGGAACCAGCCTCGCTCTGTGTGGAGGAGTACCGGATGTAGCGCACCGCTCAGTGCCACAACCATGAGCACTTCCACACACAGTTAGTGTGAGAAACCCACATCTAAGCTTAAGATTACAAACCTGCTGCACACAAACAGTGGCCATGGTCGGTTCTCTGGAGAAACAGGACTTCAGGTAGCCCAGAATTTCCTCTACACACTATGGTGAGAGAAAAAAAAAAAAAACAGATTATTACTTTCTTTAAAAAAATAAATAATCTAATTCTCTGCCTATTTCTAGTTAAAAGAAGCGTAACATTAACTTTTTCAAGAATAAAAGACAGACTTGACCTTTCCGATGTCATGCAGCGTGGCCAGCTCCAGCAGCTGGGACAAAACATCCAAGGCAGCGTGCAGAAAACCTCCAAACTTCTCCTGGCTGCTGTGGAGATCCAACGTCACCTGGGAGGGAAAACAAAAACACAAACCATTTTAAAAACTTTCGCAACCCAACGGGGAACATGCCGAGCTCGGCTAAAGCGGGACAAGAGGTCCGACCTTATAGTTGGCGTGTGTCGCTTTGAGGACGTCGTAGAGCTTGAGGTAGGGAGGCAGGTGGTAGAAGCTGCCCAGGGTGATGGATTTGTTCACAGCTGCTGAAGTGGTGCTGTCTGCTTGCCTGCCTGCTTTATAATGACACAACGCACAATTTGCGGTTCGCACACGTTTCCCCACAGTAAAATTCAAGCGCTCTTCAAGCGTCTTCAAGGCAAGACTCCAAACTTTTAAAGCACCACACTTTGGATACAAAAACAATACAAAAGACCTGAAAAAGTTTTAATTCACTGTTTTATGACTTTACTTATTACTGTTGTTAATAATATATTGAGATAGTATTCTACAACCGGGAGAAATTAAACTAAATTAAAACATATATATTTCTTAAAATGTCTCGATAGCACCTGACCTGGTCCAAGAAAGTTCTCCAAGAAAGATCTCTAAAAAACTTCTCACCAAGTTTTCTGGACATTAGCAAATAGAAAGAATTTTGGTAATTCTAACTAACCTAAAACAATTGAAGTTTGGTCTGATTTAGCTTCAGAAAGTGAGGAATAAATGTGTGTCATTTTATCTGGTTTAAACTGTAAAATTTAGGCTTTAAGCAAACGTTAGACGGAGCTCAATTACAAAACTGTGCAGGTTGAATATAAAGTACTTTTAAAGGACTTCATGCAGAAATCAAGAGCTTTCTAAATCTTTTTTTTTTTTTTTTACAGTTTCTAAACCTTGAAAACTTTATTTTTTTTAAATACATTCATTTATAAACTGAAAATGATGCATGCTGGAGGACAATGATATGTGGATGGACCTGTGTTGATCTCGTTGCTCTTCTTTGGGCTCATGGGTGCAGCAGCGGCCTCGGTCGTCTCCTTCTCCTTCCCTTTCCTGCGGATGGGACTCAGGGACGGCGTGTTGCTCAGAGAGGGGAGAGCAGCCTAGAAAAAAAAAAAAAGGTACAGTAGAAAAAGGTTGTGTCTTCCTTGTTTCTAAAATCATTCCATTTTTCACATTTCTCAACAAACTAAGAGAATCCATGTTTAATGCAGGATAATAATATTGTATGTTTTGGAAATAAAGATGATTTAAGTCAGTCAAGATTTAAAAAAAAAAACTGAGTTAGCCCTTTACTTTGCTGCTGAATCAGAAGCAAACATGAGCATGTTGTTTTGTGATTTGTCAAATATGCAGCTATAATATAAAAATGTACGAAATATTTTAAAGTCGAATTTCTAAACTCTTGTAAGAAAATCAAAAGTTCAGAGTTTGTAATTTTGAAATGGAGAATTTGTCTGAATTGTTTGATCTGATTCGTTGTTTGGTCTGTGATAAATTTAGTTTATTTCAAAATCAGTTTAAAAATCCCAATTTTTGATTGGCATCTAAAAATAAAAACAACTTATTTCAAAATCCACTTGTCCAGATTAACTCCATGAGCCAAGAAGTAGTTAAGGTGAAAAATGCAGTGAGATGTCAATTCTTCTCAGTCTTTAATGCAGTGTGCTTTTCTCTTAGTACTCAAATGATCAGGCAGTTGGAAAAAAAACTGAAGTTATGATACAACTCAGCAGATCTTTTTCTCTCGTGTTCTTTTATTTCTTCGTATTTTCTGCTAACCCTTTATCCAAGTTAAATTTAGAATAAAACTCAAAACCCATACTTTTCAAAGCTTTGCCTAGGAATCTTATAGAATAACTGCTAGCAAAATGGGGCCATAATACAGTTTTGACAAAACTCAATATCAGCTGCTTTTCCTCAGGCTTGCCTTAGCTGCTGGTCCCGGCGGCGTGTCATCCAGAACGTGCGCACAGATGTTGAGAACCTTTAGCAGATGAGAAAACAGCTGTTCCACCATGGCCACCAGGGAGCGCTCTGACAGGGCTGTCCAGGGTTCCTCTGTTTTATTTGGGCCTGCACCAGTGTTCCCAGTGCTTCCTTCCTCCTCTCCAGCCCAGGGGTTGCGTAAGCATTTTGGAGCCACAGCTGAGAACAGTGATATCTATTAAGAACCAATACTTTTCCTCTTTAATTCAAAAGATTACGCAAAAAAAGTGGCATAAGTTTGAATAATAAAAAGGACCAATTCTTCACAAACAAGTGGGGAAATTTAACACAAATTTCTCACCCGCAAGCAGGTTCCCACAGAGCAGTAGTGCATCTTGGTGTGCAGAGAGATCCAGAGGAAACCACGCAGAAGACAGCAGGGAGAGCACCATGTTGGCCGGTCCCACGGTCAGCGTCTTCCGCTCAGAATCCAGCGCAGACGAGGAGGCGGCCGAAGAGGCTGGAGTGTTGCCGCTCTGAGACAAACTATAACGATAGGATTATCAAAAATTTTGCTTAACAGCTTACTGACGAATGGAAAACAAAAACCATTAAGGGAGATTTTTTATTTTTTTTAACAAAGGTTCTCAAACCTGAGTGTCCTGCCTCTGCTGCGGTTGAGACTAGAACGATAAGAAAAGTTGCTGCTAGAGCTAACATAGCCACAGTGCCAGCCTGTACTCCAGGTACCGACAGGAAAGTTTGATGCTAGAAGACACAAAGCCTCGCAGCAGCCGAACTGCAGAGAAAGAACGAGACTGTTTAAGTACCTTAAAGGGGTAGCAGTACTTATTTTCCAGGCACATAGTGCCATTTTACAGCACAATCAAGTAACTATGTTAACCTTCAGTTGTTATAGAAACTATATATATATATATATATATATATATATATATATATATATATATATATATATCTCATATGACTTAAAAGAAATTTGACTTTGCGGTTTGATGCCTTGAAATTACCCTCTGTCTCTTTAAGAAGCTCCTGCCTTCAGCAAGTCATCACAGCAATGCTCCTCTATTATGCCATTTAAGTTTGTAAAAGGCATAATGGAAGATTTCTCAAACATGCATAAAAGAATCAAAGCAACACTCCAACTATGTTTCTGATGAGAACACATTATAACATGACATAAAGCTGAAAAAAAAAAAAAATAGATTTCAAATAACGTCCCTCCCCCCCCTTTAAGAAAACACCATCAGAAATTTGCGACAGCGATAACAATAAATGACTGAACATTTTTCTGAAAGCTTACAGTTAGCGCTCTGGAGGTGGAAGATGTGAAAGCATGGGAGACTGCAGTAACAACTCTGGACAGGTTGTTCTCCAACGAGACGTCGGACACAGAGTTAGAAAAGTTGTAGCCTCGATACGTCCTTGAGGAAAGAGAAAAGTTTTCTCCCGTTTACCTTGAAGCCGACTTCAACGTACTTGACACCATCTTTCAGTTTCATGAACAATACCTTGTGATTGTGCTGACTGTGAACTGGGACGGGGGTTGTGTCTCATGCATGAGTAGCTGCAGGTAGACTGAACTCTGGTCCCGGGCGATGGCCACCACTGGGTCTACCTGGCCTTGGTCACAGTCAAAGAACAATTTTGGAACGAGTCTAGAAGGAAGAGGCACAGGAAAACAAAAAATAGAGATTTGGGTTAAGATCTTGGATTATACAGTGGTGTGGTCTTGTTCAAATACAAAAGAGCTAGCATACCTGCTAACAGCAGAGGCTGCAACGTGTCGCACTCTTGGATCATCGTCTCCCAACAGATAGATGACCACATCATTCAGGACCCTGTCCTGAATCCGTAGTTGCTAAACAAATTCCAACAAATTTAGGATCGCGACATGTTTGTCGGAATAAAATATCTCAATGATCCACCTTTACTTTCAAACAGAGGAGAAAAAAAAAGCCAAGGCGGCAACATACCCCAGTAAAGTGATGGTCTCCTTTGTGCAAAGTTTCAGTTTTTCTCTCCAAGAAATTAATTAATCTAAAACAAGAAAATAAATAAATAAATAAATGTACAATGGAAGCAAAGACACGTGTCGGTAGCAGTCAAAAGGAACGAATCTCACCTGAAGTCTAACTCGGACAGAGTTTCCAGGAGCTCGGTGCGAACAAGCCAGTAGGAAGAATCCCGCAGAGCGAAGAGGTCTATCACCAGCTGCAACCCGAGCTCGCTCAGCGTGCTGCTGCACAGCGTCATGATGCAGTGCTGGAACGCACCACAAACACAGACTCAGTAACACAAGCGGACACCAACCACCGACGCTCCTGCAGGCCCATCCTACCCTGACTGCAGCACACGCCATCTTGCAGGTGACCGAGGATTCGTCTTTTAAAGTTTTCTGGAGCAAAGGCACCAAATCCACCAGGGACAGAGGGTTACCTGAAGAGCAGAGTCCAGGAATAACAATCAGCCTCACATCAGCTCAGCAGTAACTTCAACACGAAAAAAAACAAACAAAAAAACAAAAAACACAAACCTGTTGTACTCTGCACACCGGCCAGCCAGGTGTGAATATTGTAACGTGTTTTGGTAAGCGCAGCTAGGATGATGGCTCCACAGAGGATGGCTGTGGCCCCTCTGATCTGGGGGTCTCCGTGTTCGATGAGGCCCAGAACGTCACTAATGTACTGCTGCCCTGCAATGGCACAGACCAAGCAGCTGTCACACTACAGCTGGCAGGAAAATGATCAAAACTGTTTTCCCTACTGAACAGTTTTGATAATTATCACTAGGGCCGAACTGATTAATCCAATGAAATGTTATTAATCGACGATTGAAACAATTGTCAACTAATTTAGTAATCGTTTCATCGCTAACGCAATTATATAGGCTCAAGAAAAAATCATTTTCTGAAAGAACACCATCAGTAGCAGTAATTAAGCCAAATATATATATATATATATATATATATATATATATATATATATATATAGAAATAAAGATAAAAAATCTTCTCTGTTAGTAAAAAATATATTTTTCCCAGAACTCCTCAAGCGGGACAGTTTTAGCTTCACTAAGTTCAAATTCTGTAAAAAAAATAAATAAATAAATAAAAAAATCTATCGCCTTTTGCAACCCAATTGTTAATAAGTGAATCTAAAAATAAACAGATCAGCAGCAGACTGTACTGATGTTCAGTTGAGCAGAAAGATCTGAGCTTTTCACATGTTGATTATAGAAGCATTTTTTAATGATCTACCATTTACTAAAGGAATGCTACCTTGTTGCTTTTTAAGCATTTTTTCCTTATTTTAAAAGAAATTAAATAATTTATTTGCATCTTCTCATGTGTATCTAATATTTTATAAAAGAGGCTTAAACGAAAAATCAGCAGAATGTGCCAAAATTTTTATCCAATTAAATCACTAGAATAATCAATAGATTAATCAACATCTAAAGCAATTGTTGTCCAGTCTTAATCAGATAAAATTTTCTTCTGTCATTTGTTGTATTTTTTTTTTTTTAACCGTTTCTATCAATACTTAAACTTTGGCTGGCAAAGTCTGAAACTCCTCTGACCTTACATAAACCTTCCCACCTGCATTAAACCAACTTCACATGTATTCACCTATTATCCAATTAGGATGACAGCCAACCTTCTTCAACAGATTATCTTTTCTTTTTAAACCCAAACACAATCAAAAGGGTGCTGACAACTGAATTTGCCATCATACCTGCAACTGGGACGCCATCCAGTGGCTCCAGGTAGAGAGAATTAAAGAACGCTTCAGGATGCAGCGCTGCTGCAGCTCCGACGCAGCTGACCGCCAACGCCTTCACGCTCACTCGAACCTCTTTATCAGGAATCAATCCTGAAGAAACAAACAAAAAAATCACTTGTATCACTATCTACCATCTGCATTTTATGTGACACACTCATATCGTCTAGTTGATCATTTGTAAGTCATTATTGGATGTTATGTTAATATCTGGGAGTCCCATGTAAAACATATTGTGTAAAGTTAGGATTCTTAATTTTTCAAAAATATAAAATCTCTTCTTTCAAATCAACTTAGTTTTGTGCATCGTCACAACGCAATGAAACCCACAGAGCTGAAGCTGTAGCGTGAAGTCGTGTGAAAAGGCTTAGAAATAAGAGTAATTTAGGGCTGAAATGATTAATAGATTATTGAAATAACTCTCAACTAATTTTTTAAAAATCCATTAATTATTAACTGGGTTATTTGTTAGACTAAAAAAAAAAGACCATTTGCTGAAACAACACCCACAGGGAAACAACTGAGCCAAAACTGTACAAGAAAATATAGACATATTGCATTTAACAAGAAAAAAAAAGAAAAACGAATGTAAATGTTCTACCCAGAACTCCTCAAGTGGCACAGTTTCAGCTGCTTCTGATTTAAATTGTATAAAGAACAAAATGTCATATTAAGCACCTTTTTTCTATCTTCTAATGTATTTCTAATATTAAGTGGTTGAATGAAAAATCTGCAGAATGGGCCCATTTCTTAAAAATCCAATTAATAAACTGATTTTCCAAACAAATTATAGAATAATCAATTACTAAAGTCATTAGTTGCATCCCCAACGTATTTTACTTTGTTAGGTTCGTCATAATGCCAACTTTTATTATACATTGATTTTCTTTTTTTTTTAATCCTAGGTTTATGTTAATAAACTCTTAAAATATTAGAAAAGATAAAATTGTAGAATAGTATCCAGCCTAATTTTGCTAATATATACATGTTCAATTTCAAGCCGTGGCTTGAAGCAGCTGCTCACCGTTCTTCTGTCCAGTGAGAAGAAAAGAAGCGGCGAGAAGTCGCACACAGTGAACCAGTGGCTCCGCCCCCTGGTCCGTGTAGTGTCCAATTGGACCCTTTATCCGTGACGGCTGCCAGGCATTTAATAAAACAATCAGAAACAAATCGTGATTTTACTTCTTCAATCGCTGACCACAACCGTGGACGTACCTTATTATCAGGTTCGGGTTCAGCAGGCTCATCCTTGGGAATGAAGCGGTCCACGCTGCTGTCCGAACCCTGCCGATTGTGACCTCGGCCATCGAACAGATGAGGCTTACTCAGAGCTGGACGCAAAAACGTCTTTGTTAGGGTGACAAAGATCTAGACGGGTTTTCATATTCAGCCGCCTGCCTACCGAGGGCCGACTGCAGAAACGGCTCCGAGGGTTCTTCCTGGGAGGAAGGCGCTGCTCCTTCATCTTCTTCATCCTGTAGCGTTCCTATCTGCATGCCGGAGTACTGGCTCTCGCTGCCGTCCAGGACCTTAGTTTGACACACAAAACGTCTTCATGAGAGAATTAAAAGTTCGGTTCACGAGCAAAACTCCCAACAAAAAGCCAAAGTTTCTCTCAGTAGGAAAAACGCCAGCATGCAAAAGCAACAAGTCGAATTTCAAACTACTGGATCTGATTTGCTGAAAATAAGACGGGGACATAAGAGAGAATCCAAACTTTACGTGGTACACGCACTTTAAAGTTAAAGGTCCACTGAATCATGCTTGAAAAGACAATTTACAGCAAATCTAGTACATACAGTAGGAAGCAGGGGGCTGGTGATTTCACACAAATGCTGCTTGTATAATACAGGGAAAATCAAGCTTTTGCTTTTATCCTAACAGGAACAAGTTCTCATTAGAATTTTTTAAGCTATGCTTTATTAAAAAAAAAATTTTTGACCAGAAGAAGGAACATCAAATACATGTTGCTCCTCACACTGGAGCAAAAGTCTTCTGCAGCATCTTCAAATAACAGAGAATCTGATCTAAGGATGAACAAAAAAAGGAAAAACAACTCTTCATGCTTCATCTTTTACAACTCACTGCAAGCCAGTCACATCCTCGGTCATAACCGCCGTCTTTCAAAAGCATCTGCCTTTTGAGAGAGAATCGTTCAAAATGAGGGGGAAAAAAGTAAAGGAGGCGCAAGCTACCGTCCATGAAAGGAGGAAAAGATGCCATCACAACCCAGGAAATCGAGTGCAGGGGTAGAAACGAACAAATGAGGGAAGCCAAAGGTTTCAGAAACAAGCAAGGCGCCACCCTTTCTTTTTCAAATCACCTGACCTTGTCACTAGTGCTAGAAGAGGAGGTGGCATAGAAGGAGGAAGAGGACGAGACAGACAGAGAAGACGAGGAGGAGAAAGAAGCGGTGTAGACAGAGGAGCTGCTGGCTGGCGCGTCGGGACCCTCGGTGGGAGTCGGCGAGAGCGGAGGTGGCTGGACTGCCTGCTGCAGGGAGGGCCGCGACCGCGGCAAGGTGTGGTCAAGGATAAAGAGGGGGAAGGCAAAACCATTAGAGAGGACAAGAGTTGGTTTGGGGTCTTGTTGTTTTTTTGTGGGAAGAAAATGTTGCTAACCAAAGACCTCAGTGATGACTGTATTTGAGGTGTTTTATGAGAAAACAGGCCAGAAAAGGAAAAAAAACAAAACATTTTTGACAACTTGTTCCGTTTCTAATAAACAGTATTGATCCTTAACCCTCACGAGGTCTCAGGAGGAGCACAGAAAATGTCGTGGGCAGCTGGGAAGTGTGGGGGTTGTCCCGTCAGACTGTCGATTTCCAAAACTACACACACCACACAAAAAAACTTGTAAAAGAGCACACGGGGTCAGTGCGACCCCACCGGACCTCGCACAGAGTAAAAAACTTGTGGGGTCATCTGAGCTGCTGAACCTTGTAGTCAAAGGCATCCTGGTGATGTCTCTCACTAGTCTCCTTGCATATTTTAAATCTCACTGATGCGTACTGATGGAATCTGTTCAGAAGTATTTTTACAAAATTCCTTTTTTTTTTTTTTGCTTTATCAAAAATGGTTTCACAGGGAAATGGTGAGATTGTGATTTTACTGAGCTAAAAACAAAAGCAGCTTCCCCCACATGGCAGGGTTAATCAGTGTAACCGCAGCTTCCCCTAAACACAATCGCACAGTGGATCCAGAAGAAAAGCATTTTATAGCAAGAGAGTCCTACTGACCAGTTCTGCTACATCCGAAGGTGTCACGGCCGAATCCGGTCCCTCTGTGGTCGTCTGAGACGAGTCGCTTGGTGGGAGCGATCGATCATTAGTGCCCAGCGCCATCCCGCCTTCGCCGAGCGGCCCCCCGCCTTCTGGGGTGGCGTTTTCTGGTGTGGTGTAGTCGGCTGTCTCCGGGGTGACGTTGGCGCCGCTGGAACTTCGACTCAGCATTTCCTCTTCGTTTTCATTGGGTGACTCGGGGGTGCCTGATGTGGACGTGCCGCCTCCGCCGCCCTGCTCGGAGGAGGCGCTGAGGTCCACAGAGTCGCCGGGCTGCAGCGTGTGCTGCGAAGAGCGCGGCTGCTCTGTGATGATGTCCACCTGAGCAGCAGACGAGCCGTCTGCCCAAAGAACACGGGAAGAAACTAGTCTTTAAAAAACAAAGGTGGTAAAAATGATCTCACCGAATTAGAATAGGAGAATTAACAGACTGTTATGTAAAAGAATAAATAAATAAAGACTGCAGCACATGACGATATGTTCTTTGCATATTCTCCAGTTTCTTAAGTTTACATGAATTTGAGTCCCATCCAAATTAACACTACTCATCCTCCGTAGTTGTGGTGGTGGTGGCGGCATCATGATACGGGGGATGTTTTTTTATTAATAGGAACAGGGAAGACGGATGGACCGAAACAAAGAAAATTCTGGAAGAAAAGCTGTGAGAGGCCAAAGAGTTTAATTTAAACTTTCAATTAATTACATCAGGGTTTGTGTGAATTTCTGCAAGGTACCATATTTATGTTCCTAGAGCACAGCCTTCTGTGTTTGCAGAATTTCACATTATTACTACTGTTTTTTTAATTGTAGACAATGGAGACGTCTCACCTGTGAAGGTTCCCGCGTTGACTTCTGCTCTCTCGGGGTCGTCCTCCAACCCATCCTCTTCTCCAGAAAGAATTTTACCTGGAAAGTTCAGATTTATTCTCAGCTAAAGAGATTGTGATGCGTGCAGCAGAAAGATACGGCCGCATGCTCTTTTATTGGAAGAATCGAAACACGTAAGGTAAGGTAAGGTAATCTACGGCCTCAAAAGACTAAATTGAAGGCATGGTTGCCCAGGACCTCCATTAAACTGGAGAGTGTAAGTCGAGGTGAGCACAACATAAACAAACAAGTCACCTCTATGTTTCCTGAGAAGAAGTGGACTGCAGGAAGACCCTCCCCCCGCTGCATAAGGCAGAAAAACAGGAAACAGAAACAAGACGTGAGAGAAAAAAGCAGCAAAAGCCGATGGAGCGTTGCAGGAAACAAAGATATTTATACACGGACAAAAGGAGGCGAGTTAGGGAGCAAAGACAGCGGCACAAAGTTAGACCAAAGCAGAAGTTGGAATGGAGAACAGATTGACCAGAACAGTGCGCACGAATGAACTAAAGGCCACCTGAGACAGCCAGTCGACTGGTGCGCTAAGTGCTAGTGGACTGAGTAAATATTTGAAGGCCCATATCGCTAAGCATTAGAGGAATGAAGCATCTGTCCCAATTGATTGATGGGATTACCGATGAGCTCCAGGATGCTGCCCGAGCGAGCGCGGCTCTCCGTGTCCTGACGAAACACGGTGGCGTGAGGAATGCTGCCGGCCGTGATGAGCACGTGCAGAAGCTCCGGCGGGGGAGTCCTGAACATCTGCTGCAGGAGCTCCAGGGCGGCTGTGACCACGTTGTGATCCCAGTGCTGCGTGTAGTGCAGCGTCAGCTCGTACACCTTCAGGCACACAGGAATCATTCAGCTAAGAAGAACAAAAACACAAGTGCACAAAAAAAAAGAAACACAACTGATCTGACCTGCAGGAGTTGCTCGGGTGTTGGCTGGACGTCGGCCTCCTTCCTCATCACTCCAAAGCTCCCTTTGAGGCTGCTGGTGTTGACTTGGTTCTGCAGCAGGGGCATCAGGTAGCGAAACGTTAGCAGCACCCCCAGGATAAGATGGCTCGGGTGTTCGTCATCGACTGGAAGCAACAGGCCTGAAGGAGGAGAAGACATGGCAGATTATGTGTGAGTTAGCTTATTTTTTTCAAGTAAAGCAGGGCTGCAACTAACGATTGTTTTAGTTACTGATTCATCCATCAATTATTCGGACAAAAATAATCGCAATGTTCTGCGGATTTTTTATTCAAGTCATTTTTATACATTGCAAAATGATTGAAAGATGCAAATAAGCTGTTATATTCCATTTTTAAATAAGAGAATAAACACTTTATTACCTAAACTGCAATAACATAACACTCCCTTAGTGTACACTTGATTATTTGTAGCAAAGAATGCATCTCCAGATAAAAAGAAAAAGAGATACTAACAACATATTGTTAGTATCTTACTAGCAGAAAGCTCAGCCCTTTCTGCTCAACGTATTAATAAAGTGTAAACCTGGTCTGTTGCTTATTTTCTGGATTAACCAATACATATAAATATTGATTTTATTTTCTCACACAATTTGAACCAGATAAAAGCTAAAACTATGCTACTTGAGGAGTTCCGGGTAGAACATATTTACAGACAAAAGTTGTTTTGGTTTTTGTTATCTTAAAAGCAGAATGCTGTCGTAAATACAATACTGCTCTGACTGTATTGTTCTTTCAGCAATACTCCAGTTAACAATGAATCAATTGCTAATTTTGATTACAATTATTTCAGTGAATGATTCATCGCGATCAATCGTTTCAGTCGCTCTGTAAATCAACAAAATTGATCCTTGTGATAGTAAAAAAAAGAAAAAAAAGAAAAGAAAACACAAATCAACTCTGGAGTGTTTCATTCTGTGTGTGACCTACCCAGCAGCACATTAAGGAGCCAGGTGTAGAAATAACTTGTGCGTCTGGAGTGTTGGCACACGCTGACGGCGCAGCTGGCTGCTGTCCGTCTGATGGTGGGGGAGCTGGACTTCAGGTTGGCAACAAATGACTTCAGCAGCACCTGAAAAAACCCCCCACAAAGTTACGGTACTACAATGACACGTTTCAAAAGTGTGAGGATCGCTAACAACAAACAGGAATGAGCTCATCTGAGTCGGATACCTTAATCTCGCCGTCGTTGGCGAAGTTTCCCAAGGCTGACATGATTTTGGGTATCGCTGCAGCCAGCGTCTCCTGCACGGTTTCCTCCTGACGCTTGGTGATCCGACTGAGGCATGGCAGCAGGTTGACCAGGTAAGGTCTGGACCACAGAAACACATGGAACAAACATGACAAAATTAAAAAGATTCACACGATGATGTTTTTCCAGCATTCTGGGAAAAATTAACTATTGCATTTTATTGCTAGCAAAAAATGATTGAACCTCTGAGTTCACTGTAACATAAGTGCTACAGTGCCTACCTGCATTTCTGGGGTCGGATGAGGTGGGCGAGCTCAGCAAACCTCCACAAAGCTGCCCTCAGACTCCGTGAGGCACCGTTCTGTCGAGGTACGAGAACCACATTAAACAAAGCACTGAACTTTTACATTCCTCTTATGTGAACAAAATGGACTAAACAAAACATAACCAGGTCTGAGCCTTAATTAATACCTTTTTAATTTCTTTGTACAACTCCAGCTGCAGTCTTGGCAAGTTCGAGTCCATCAGAGCCTGGGGAGTAAAAAGAGTCTAGTAAATAGCAGAAATGATTCAATAATAGAAGTTATTAAGATATTCTGCACAATTACAATTGTATTTTTTATAACAATTGGAATTTACCATAGCTATTTTTTTTTTAGTTACAAGCAATTTTACAATTAAAGACTAAAATTAAAACAAGAAGACCACAAATCTTTGGATGTTCTACTTTGTTACAGGCATGGCTGTTCACCAATATATGTAGAAAGCTAAAAGTTCAAAACAGGAACAATTTTCTGTCCCTGTTCTTCCAACCCCCAACACAACAAACTGCACAATTGCAATCAGGGAAACGTCTTTCTCCAGGCAACTGGAACATTCTATTATTATTCTATTCTATTGCCAAAGAAAAGACCATGATTTAGCACTCCAGAGAACAAGCTTCTTTTAATACTAAATGTTGCATGTAAATTATACAAGTTTAGATACAACGTTCATAACTGGAAAAAGAACACTGTAATATTTTAGCAGCAGTGGGAATAATTGTTGCTTTTCTGTTTTGAATAAAAGCAAATAGGTCAGGTTGTCCAATTTTTGTTTTTATGCAACTATAGTTACAATACTTTTTCCATATTATCTTATACAATTTCAGTATGAGTTTCTCTCTTTTCATGTTAAATAAGAAGAGTTGGTCCAAAAAAAGAAATTAGCTAGGTATCGGATTTACTCAACAACAAAATTCAGCTTCAAAACTTGGACAATCACAAAATGTACAAAATATGACTCACTTTGATGATTTTGTTCAGGCACTCATCAGCCACCATACGGACATCTGATTCACTGTCATCGCTGCAGAGAAGAAACATCTCCATGGCGATCCCGAGCAGTTTCTGAAACTCTGGAGATGTTCTGTTTCCAGGTCCCAAAAAAAAAAAAACACCAACAGTCAAGCAATTATTAAGCATGAAAACTTTTATAAGTGACTGACTGACATAAATTACTAGAAGCTGCCTCCATTCCTTCTACTAATCTAGTAACATAATTAGGAAGATTTGGTCAATGTTACACTAAGGATGCCTTTGTATGTCAAATATTGTAAATGCAGGAGAAAGCAAAAGCTGGCTATAAAAACAAAAACCGCAACAAAATTGTCTTTTTAATGTACAAAACTGGGGCTAGACACTTAAGTGCTGTCATGGTGTGCTTATAAAATAAACCCATCAGTGCAGCGGTAACTAAATTCTTTAATTTGGTCAGAACAGGGCCCAATGTTTTTACAAAAATCTGTACAAAATACTGAAATCTTNTCTATCAATACTTAAACTTTGGCTGGCAAAGTCTGAAACTCCTCTGACCTTACATAAACCTTCCCACCTGCATTAAACCAACTTCACATGTATTCACCTATTATCCAATTAGGATGACAGCCAACCTTCTTCAACAGATTATCTTTTCTTTTTAAACCCAAACACAATCAAAAGGGTGCTGACAACTGAATTTGCCATCATACCTGCAACTGGGACGCCATCCAGTGGCTCCAGGTAGAGAGAATTAAAGAACGCTTCAGGATGCAGCGCTGCTGCAGCTCCGACGCAGCTGACCGCCAACGCCTTCACGCTCACTCGAACCTCTTTATCAGGAATCAATCCTGAAGAAACAAACAAAAAAATCACTTGTATCACTATCTACCATCTGCATTTTATGTGACACACTCATATCGTCTAGTTGATCATTTGTAAGTCATTATTGGATGTTATGTTAATATCTGGGAGTCCCATGTAAAACATATTGTGTAAAGTTAGGATTCTTAATTTTTCAAAAATATAAAATCTCTTCTTTCAAATCAACTTAGTTTTGTGCATCGTCACAACGCAATGAAACCCACAGAGCTGAAGCTGTAGCGTGAAGTCGTGTGAAAAGGCTTAGAAATAAGAGTAATTTAGGGCTGAAATGATTAATAGATTATTGAAATAACTCTCAACTAATTTTTTAAAAATCCATTAATTATTAACTGGGTTATTTGTTAGACTAAAAAAAAAAGACCATTTGCTGAAACAACACCCACAGGGAAACAACTGAGCCAAAACTGTACAAGAAAATATAGACATATTGCATTTAACAAGAAAAAAAAAGAAAAACGAATGTAAATGTTCTACCCAGAACTCCTCAAGTGGCACAGTTTCAGCTGCTTCTGATTTAAATTGTATAAAGAACAAAATGTCATATTAAGCACCTTTTTTCTATCTTCTAATGTATTTCTAATATTAAGTGGTTGAATGAAAAATCTGCAGAATGGGCCCATTTCTTAAAAATCCAATTAATAAACTGACTTACCAAACAAATTATAGAATAATCAATTACTAAAGTCATTAGTTGCATCCCCAACGTATTTTACTTTGTTAGGTTCGTCATAATGCCAACTTTTATTATACATTGATTTTCTTTTTTTTTTAATCCTAGGTTTATGTTAATAAACTCTTAAAATATTAGAAAAGATAAAATTGTAGAATAGTATCCAGCCTAATTTTGCTAATATATACATGTTCAATTTCAAGCCGTGGCTTGAAGCAGCTGCTCACCGTTCTTCTGTCCAGTGAGAAGAAAAGAAGCGGCGAGAAGTCGCACACAGTGAACCAGTGGCTCCGCCCCCTGGTCCGTGTAGTGTCCAATTAGACCCTCTATCCGTGACGGCTGCCAGGCATTTAATAAAACAATCAGAAACAAATCGTGATTTTACTTCTTCAATCGCTGACCACAACCGTGGACGTACCTTATTATCAGGTTCGGGTTCAGCAGGCTCATCCTTGGGAATGAAGCGGTCCACGCTGCTGTCCGAACCCTGCCGATTGTGACCTCGGCCATCGAACAGATGAGGCTTACTCAGAGCTGGACGCAAAAACGTCTTTGTTAGGGTGACAAAGATCTAGACGGGTTTTCATATTCAGCCGCCTGCCTACCGAGGGCCGACTGCAGAAACGGCTCCGAGGGTTCTTCCTGGGAGGAAGGCGCTGCTCCTTCATCTTCTTCATCCTGTAGCGTTCCTATCTGCATGCCGGAGTACTGGCTCTCGCTGCCGTCCAGGACCTTAGTTTGACACACAAAACGTCTTCATGAGAGAATTAAAAGTTCGGTTCACGAGCAAAACTCCCAACAAAAAGCCAAAGTTTCTCTCAGTAGGAAAAACGCCAGCATGCAAAAGCAACAAGTCGAATTTCAAACTACTGGATCTGATTTGCTGAAAATAAGACGGGGACATAAGAGAGAATCCAAACTTTACGTGGTACACGCACTTTAAAGTTAAAGGTCCACTGAATCATGCTTGAAAAGACAATTTACAGCAAATCTAGTACATACAGTAGGAAGCAGGGGGCTGGTGATTTCACACAAATGCTGCTTGTATAATACAGGGAAAATCAAGCTTTTGCTTTTATCCTAACAGGAACAAGTTCTCATTAGAATTTTTTAAGCTATGCTTTATTAAAAAAAAAATTTTTGACCAGAAGAAGGAACATCAAATACATGTTGCTCCTCACACTGGAGCAAAAGTCTTCTGCAGCATCTTCAAATAACAGAGAATCTGATCTAAGGATGAACAAAAAAAGGAAAAACAACTCTTCATGCTTCATCTTTTACAACTCACTGCAAGCCAGTCACATCCTCGGTCATAACCGCCGTCTTTCAAAAGCATCTGCCTTTTGAGAGAGAATCGTTCAAAATGAGGGGGAAAAAAGTAAAGGAGGCGCAAGCTACCGTCCATGAAAGGAGGAAAAGATGCCATCACAACCCAGGAAATCGAGTGCAGGGGTAGAAACGAACAAATGAGGGAAGCCAAAGGTTTCAGAAACAAGCAAGGCGCCACCCTTTCTTTTTCAAATCACCTGACCTTGTCACTAGTGCTAGAAGAGGAGGTGGCATAGAAGGAGGAAGAGGACGAGACAGACAGAGAAGACGAGGAGGAGAAAGAAGCGGTGTAGACAGAGGAGCTGCTGGCTGGCGCGTCGGGACCCTCGGTGGGAGTCGGCGAGAGCGGAGGTGGCTGGACTGCCTGCTGCAGGGAGGGCCGCGACCGCGGCAAGGTGTGGTCAAGGATAAAGAGGGGGAAGGCAAAACCATTAGAGAGGACAAGAGTTGGTTTGGGGTCTTGTTGTTTTTTTGTGGGAAGAAAATGTTGCTAACCAAAGACCTCAGTGATGACTGTATTTGAGGTGTTTTATGAGAAAACAGGCCAGAAAAGGAAAAAAAACAAAACATTTTTGACAACTTGTTCCGTTTCTAATAAACAGTATTGATCCTTAACCCTCACGAGGTCTCAGGAGGAGCACAGAAAATGTCGTGGGCAGCTGGGAAGTGTGGGGGTTGTCCCGTCAGACTGTCGATTTCCAAAACTACACACACCACACAAAAAAACTTGTAAAAGAGCACACGGGGTCAGTGCGACCCCACCGGACCTCGCACAGAGTAAAAAACTTGTGGGGTCATCTGAGCTGCTGAACCTTGTAGTCAAAGGCATCCTGGTGATGTCTCTCACTAGTCTCCTTGCATATTTTAAATCTCACTGATGCGTACTGATGGAATCTGTTCAGAAGTATTTTTACAAAATTCCTTTTTTTTTTTTTTGCTTTATCAAAAATGGTTTCACAGGGAAATGGTGAGATTGTGATTTTACTGAGCTAAAAACAAAAGCAGCTTCCCCCACATGGCAGGGTTAATCAGTGTAACCGCAGCTTCCCCTAAACACAATCGCACAGTGGATCCAGAAGAAAAGCATTTTATAGCAAGAGAGTCCTACTGACCAGTTCTGCTACATCCGAAGGTGTCACGGCCGAATCCGGTCCCTCTGTGGTCGTCTGAGACGAGTCGCTTGGTGGGAGCGATCGATCATTAGTGCCCAGCGCCATCCCGCCTTCGCCGAGCGGCCCCCCGCCTTCTGGGGTGGCGTTTTCTGGTGTGGTGTAGTCGGCTGTCTCCGGGGTGACGTTGGCGCCGCTGGAACTTCGACTCAGCATTTCCTCTTCGTTTTCATTGGGTGACTCGGGGGTGCCTGATGTGGACGTGCCGCCTCCGCCGCCCTGCTCGGAGGAGGCGCTGAGGTCCACAGAGTCGCCGGGCTGCAGCGTGTGCTGCGAAGAGCGCGGCTGCTCTGTGATGATGTCCACCTGAGCAGCAGACGAGCCGTCTGCCCAAAGAACACGGGAAGAAACTAGTCTTTAAAAAACAAAGGTGGTAAAAATGATCTCACCGAATTAGAATAGGAGAATTAACAGACTGTTATGTAAAAGAATAAATAAATAAAGACTGCAGCACATGACGATATGTTCTTTGCATATTCTCCAGTTTCTTAAGTTTACATGAATTTGAGTCCCATCCAAATTAACACTACTCATCCTCCGTAGTTGTGGTGGTGGTGGCGGCATCATGATACGGGGGATGTTTTTTTATTAATAGGAACAGGGAAGACGGATGGACCGAAACAAAGAAAATTCTGGAAGAAAAGCTGTGAGAGGCCAAAGAGTTTAATTTAAACTTTCAATTAATTACATCAGGGTTTGTGTGAATTTCTGCAAGGTACCATATTTATGTTCCTAGAGCACAGCCTTCTGTGTTTGCAGAATTTCACATTATTACTACTGTTTTTTTAATTGTAGACAATGGAGACGTCTCACCTGTGAAGGTTCCCGCGTTGACTTCTGCTCTCTCGGGGTCGTCCTCCAACCCATCCTCTTCTCCAGAAAGAATTTTACCTGGAAAGTTCAGATTTATTCTCAGCTAAAGAGATTGTGATGCGTGCAGCAGAAAGATACGGCCGCATGCTCTTTTATTGGAAGAATCGAAACACGTAAGGTAAGGTAAGGTAATCTACGGCCTCAAAAGACTAAATTGAAGGCATGGTTGCCCAGGACCTCCATTAAACTGGAGAGTGTAAGTCGAGGTGAGCACAACATAAACAAACAAGTCACCTCTATGTTTCCTGAGAAGAAGTGGACTGCAGGAAGACCCTCCCCCCGCTGCATAAGGCAGAAAAACAGGAAACAGAAACAAGACGTGAGAGAAAAAAGCAGCAAAAGCCGATGGAGCGTTGCAGGAAACAAAGATATTTATACACGGACAAAAGGAGGCGAGTTAGGGAGCAAAGACAGCGGCACAAAGTTAGACCAAAGCAGAAGTTGGAATGGAGAACAGATTGACCAGAACAGTGCGCACGAATGAACTAAAGGCCACCTGAGACAGCCAGTCGACTGGTGCGCTAAGTGCTAGTGGACTGAGTAAATATTTGAAGGCCCATATCGCTAAGCATTAGAGGAATGAAGCATCTGTCCCAATTGATTGATGGGATTACCGATGAGCTCCAGGATGCTGCCCGAGCGAGCGCGGCTCTCCGTGTCCTGACGAAACACGGTGGCGTGAGGAATGCTGCCGGCCGTGATGAGCACGTGCAGAAGCTCCGGCGGGGGAGTCCTGAACATCTGCTGCAGGAGCTCCAGGGCGGCTGTGACCACGTTGTGATCCCAGTGCTGCGTGTAGTGCAGCGTCAGCTCGTACACCTTCAGGCACACAGGAATCATTCAGCTAAGAAGAACAAAAACACAAGTGCACAAAAAAAAAAGAAATACAACTGATCTGACCTGCAGGAGTTGCTCGGGTGTTGGCTGGACGTCGGCCTCCTTCCTCATCACTCCAAAGCTCCCTTTGAGGCTGCTGGTGTTGACTTGGTTCTGCAGCAGGGGCATCAGGTAGCGAAACGTTAGCAGCACCCCCAGGATAAGATGGCTCGGGTGTTCGTCATCGACTGGAAGCAACAGGCCTGAAGGAGGAGAAGACATGGCAGATTATGTGTGAGTTAGCTTATTTTTTTCAAGTAAAGCAGGGCTGCAACTAACGATTGTTTTAGTTACTGATTCATCCATCAATTATTCGGACAAAAATAATCGCAATGTTCTGCGGATTTTTTATTCAAGTCATTTTTATACATTGCAAAATGATTGAAAGATGCAAATAAGCTGTTATATTCCATTTTTAAATAAGAGAATAAACACTTTATTACCTAAACTGCAATAACATAACACTCCCTTAGTGTACACTTGATTATTTGTAGCAAAGAATGCATCTCCAGATAAAAAGAAAAAGAGATACTAACAACATATTGTTAGTATCTTACTAGCAGAAAGCTCAGCCCTTTCTGCTCAACGTATTAATAAAGTGTAAACCTGGTCTGTTGCTTATTTTCTGGATTAACCAATACATATAAATATTGATTTTATTTTCTCACACAATTTGAACCAGATAAAAGCTAAAACTATGCTACTTGAGGAGTTCCGGGTAGAACATATTTACAGACAAAAGTTGTTTTGGTTTTTGTTATCTTAAAAGCAGAATGCTGTCGTAAATACAATACTGCTCTGACTGTATTGTTCTTTCAGCAATACTCCAGTTAACAATGAATCAATTGCTAATTTTGATTACAATTATTTCAGTGAATGATTCATCGCGATCAATCGTTTCAGTCGCTCTGTAAATCAACAAAATTGATCCTTGTGATAGTAAAAAAAAGAAAAAAAAGAAAAGAAAACACAAATCAACTCTGGAGTGTTTCATTCTGTGTGTGACCTACCCAGCAGCACATTAAGGAGCCAGGTGTAGAAATAACTTGTGCGTCTGGAGTGTTGGCACACGCTGACGGCGCAGCTGGCTGCTGTCCGTCTGATGGTGGGGGAGCTGGACTTCAGGTTGGCAACAAATGACTTCAGCAGCACCTGAAAAAACCCCCCACAAAGTTACGGTACTACAATGACACGTTTCAAAAGTGTGAGGATCGCTAACAACAAACAGGAATGAGCTCATCTGAGTCGGATACCTTAATCTCGCCGTCGTTGGCGAAGTTTCCCAAGGCTGACATGATTTTGGGTATCGCTGCAGCCAGCGTCTCCTGCACGGTTTCCTCCTGACGCTTGGTGATCCGACTGAGGCATGGCAGCAGGTTGACCAGGTAAGGTCTGGACCACAGAAACACATGGAACAAACATGACAAAATTAAAAAGATTCACACGATGATGTTTTTCCAGCATTCTGGGAAAAATTAACTATTGCATTTTATTGCTAGCAAAAAATGATTGAACCTCTGAGTTCACTGTAACATAAGTGCTACAGTGCCTACCTGCATTTCTGGGGTCGGATGAGGTGGGCGAGCTCAGCAAACCTCCACAAAGCTGCCCTCAGACTCCGTGAGGCACCGTTCTGTCGAGGTACGAGAACCACATTAAACAAAGCACTGAACTTTTACATTCCTCTTATGTGAACAAAATGGACTAAACAAAACATAACCAGGTCTGAGCCTTAATTAATACCTTTTTAATTTCTTTGTACAACTCCAGCTGCAGTCTTGGCAAGTTCGAGTCCATCAGAGCCTGGGGAGTAAAAAGAGTCTAGTAAATAGCAGAAATGATTCAATAATAGAAGTTATTAAGATATTCTGCACAATTACAATTGTATTTTTTATAACAATTGGAATTTACCATAGCTATTTTTTTTTTAGTTACAAGCAATTTTACAATTAAAGACTAAAATTAAAACAAGAAGACCACAAATCTTTGGATGTTCTACTTTGTTACAGGCATGGCTGTTCACCAATATATGTAGAAAGCTAAAAGTTCAAAACAGGAACAATTTTCTGTCCCTGTTCTTCCAACCCCCAACACAACAAACTGCACAATTGCAATCAGGGAAACGTCTTTCTCCAGGCAACTGGAACATTCTATTATTATTCTATTCTATTGCCAAAGAAAAGACCATGATTTAGCACTCCAGAGAACAAGCTTCTTTTAATACTAAATGTTGCATGTAAATTATACAAGTTTAGATACAACGTTCATAACTGGAAAAAGAACACTGTAATATTTTAGCAGCAGTGGGAATAATTGTTGCTTTTCTGTTTTGAATAAAAGCAAATAGGTCAGGTTGTCCAATTTTTGTTTTTATGCAACTATAGTTACAATACTTTTTCCATATTATCTTATACAATTTCAGTATGAGTTTCTCTCTTTTCATGTTAAATAAGAAGAGTTGGTCCAAAAAAAGAAATTAGCTAGGTATCGGATTTACTCAACAACAAAATTCAGCTTCAAAACTTGGACAATCACAAAATGTACAAAATATGACTCACTTTGATGATTTTGTTCAGGCACTCATCAGCCACCATACGGACATCTGATTCACTGTCATCGCTGCAGAGAAGAAACATCTCCATGGCGATCCCGAGCAGTTTCTGAAACTCTGGAGATGTTCTGTTTCCAGGTCCCAAAAAAAAAAAAACACCAACAGTCAAGCAATTATTAAGCATGAAAACTTTTATAAGTGACTGACTGACATAAATTACTAGAAGCTGCCTCCATTCCTTCTACTAATCTAGTAACATAATTAGGAAGATTTGGTCAATGTTACACTAAGGATGCCTTTGTATGTCAAATATTGTAAATGCAGGAGAAAGCAAAAGCTGGCTATAAAAACAAAAACCGCAACAAAATTGTCTTTTTAATGTACAAAACTGGGGCTAGACACTTAAGTGCTGTCATGGTGTGCTTATAAAATAAACCCATCAGTGCAGCGGTAACTAAATTCTTTAATTTGGTCAGAACAGGGCCCAATGTTTTTACAAAAATCTGTACAAAATACTGAAATCTTTTCTTCAATTTCAAGTTTAAATTTTTTTTTTCCAAGATTTTTTTTTTTTATCACACCCCCTTACCGCTTATTTTTGCTCCTGAATCAGTTTCAGCCAAGCTTCTCTTAAAACACATGACTGATTATTGTCGCTGATAATCAAAATTGTAAAAGTTGTATAATATTAATAAAGTTATCTCCTTCTAAGGGAATGGGTTTGTTGTGGTCAAAAACCAATTTCCCAGCAGTAGTTACTTTCTCTGCCTTTGGTTCTAAAACAAATCCAACTCGAAGGCAGCTCTTCAAAATCTGATAGAGTACTGTTCCTTCATCACGTTGTCTTTGAAAAAAAGCTCTTGATTTAGGCCATATTTTTGCGTATGTGTAGACATATGCAAACATTTTAAATGAAAACTGCCAAACAAAAGAATCCGGGTGAGAATTTACTTTCTATACTTAATCTGAAAACATAAACTACAAAAACACTGTACTAAGATTTGTCCACTGTAGAGTGGATGAGAAGAGCCACTAATGAGAAGTCATTTTAGTCCTTTTATCAGGGCCTACCTCAGTGATTGAGCCACAATGTTTTCACATATCGTCAGGCAATGGGTCACTCTGTCCTTTTTTGTTGCAGCTTGCTCCTTTTTTCTGTAAAAGCATCACAAATTCAGAATGTCAAAGAGAAGCAGAAAAGGCCGGAAGAAACGCACAGTTATTAACGGTTTCTTTGAACACTTCTTTGCTTGCAACCCAACAGATTATAAAAACAAACTATGCAATAAAAAAAATAGATGTTAATGAATACAGTAAGAAACAGACAGAAGCCAGAAAAGGAATCACAGTGTTATTCAAATAAAAATGGGATTAGAAATTACAAATCTTAAATTTCACACCAATTTTATTCTGCAGGACTACAAACTTTAACATTAAAATCTAAAATTAATGACTTTGCACCCATAGTTGTGGGTATGCTACTATAAGTCCAATTAACTTAATATCATCCATCACAAAGAGCCAGAACACAATCCTCCCAGCTATCCATCAGGATGGTACCATTACATCACTCCAATGAGTGAACCTGCCCCCTTTTATGAAGCTACGTTGGTCTGCAGTGGTAGTTAGAAGAGTGTTAATTTAAACAAATCATTCTAAAGCTTTCTGACAAATCTAGTTCACAACACAACCAAAAATGCTTTAAATTGCCCTTTCTGACCCCGCACAGGTGCGTGAGCGTCAGTTTATCGGCTTAAGCGTTGGTCACAACACATATAAGCGTGCTATAACCATGATGAGAAATAGCCCCGCTAATATAATAAAGAAATGTTCCTGAAATGTCTTATGAGATTAAACAGAAGATCAGATTATGTGGTAATATACAAACTATCCGATGGGGTTGGGGGGGTGGGGGGGTTGACACTGGCATCGCTAGCGGGCTAGGCTAACTGTAACGCAGCGGTGTCAGTTTTGTAGCATCTAAAAAACACACTTACTGTCTCTGAACGAGCTCCTCTGCTGTCGGTGGTCCCTGCTGTTGTTGAAATGACTTCAGAGACTCAAAGGCCTTCATTAGCTTCTCCATGGTGGCCATTTTAGCAACCCACAACGAGAAAGCTCGCCCGAGAAGCTAATATTTACTATTTGCGCTAACCAGCTAGCACTGTAGAGTAAGGTAGAGGGGACAAGTTACCGCTAAGAGAGCAGGAGGTGCGTAGCGCGACGAGGGTTAACGCTGCCCGCGGCAGCTACCACCCGCTCTCCGCTTTCACTTCTGTCAACTTGCCGCTTATTTTTCCACAATGTTAACTCTTACAGAACCAAATATATGCTGAGAATATGCCATCTTTGATGCAGCAAATGCGTTCTTCCCAGCAGTCACACCAGGAAGTGGTGACAAGTTGCAGCGTCGGGGAGGGACGTAAAACTCAGTGGCCAATCAGTGTGCGGCTTTCTTTTGACTGATTTGTCAGAGAGCCAATGAACTGCTGCGTTGTTCTGCCTCATGTTATTGTTGCTGTCATGGGACCGTTGAAATCAGGAGGGTGTTTCGCAAAACCCTAGATAGGATATTAAACTGTCAACTGTGATTTTTCTGTTAGTCACATGCAGTTTCTTTTCTCGCTTTTTTTGAAGCCAGCGCTTAACAACTACCTGAGATCATTGTTTAGCGCATAAGGTCTGTTTTAGATTAGACTGGCATTCCTATCGCCTGTCACACGGATCAAAAATGGCTTTTTGTACAGTCCTTTTATCTATTTCATCTCTATGGTTTAAATCGTACACCTTGGCCTATAAACTTGAATTTAACTGACAACTTATTAAAGTTTTATAGACTTACAATGATTGTAGTTATTCTGCATTCACACAGTGATCATAAGTTTATATAACTTATCACTTTTACCAGTGTAATTCTAAAAAGAACTTTGAAGGACTTTAACAAGAATTAAGTGCACAAGTTTAAGTTTATTGTGATTTTTTTTTTTTTTCGAAACCACCCGGAGTCAAAATTATACAGGCAGATGTCCCTTAACATAAATCAGAATATTTTGTGTGCGGGCATCAACTATTCTGGCATAATTATATTTGACCTCTTAGAATGGAAGGTAAATTTGGATCGCTTGTGGCTGTAGAATACTAGGTTGTAATCCAGCTTTATGAGATTCTAGTCATTTTTCCGCTGCCATCGCATCACAGTGAGTGTTTGCAGAAAGCTACATCTGTGAAATTAATCTAAAACTTGCCACTTGACCTTAGCAAAGATATGTGAACAGACTTTACATCATTTAGAAAGTGTAATGCATACAAAAGCATAATTTATTTCAATACTAAAAATCCCAGCCGTTTCATTTTGGATTGGCATTCTTAAGAGTGTTGTCCTGGATGGCGTAGTGAACCCCTAATATACTATTGTCAAAAATTAACAGACAACAGAGCTGGTGCAGTTCACCAGTCTGTGCTGGTTCATGTACCGTACACATGCCAAGAATCGTATTGGCATTTTGTTGCCATCCAGATGTCAGAATCATGCCTAATGCAGCTAATTTTCATACCAAATGCCTAACTTTTTGCCACTAAGCCTCTGGGTTTAGAGCAATATTTTCACACCACCTGCTGTATTTAAAGCTTCATTAGCCTTATGTTCCTGCAGGTGGCAGTGTTGTCTCCTCAGCTGAACAAATACAGAATAATGAGAGTCTAATTACATTAACATGCTGCATAACTTATTCGATCAACTGGTTAAAAAGACATACGGTGAATCCATTGGTCTTGCTTCTCTGCCACACCTCCACAGTCAGATGAAGGAGTAATCTTTCCAACATCAGCTGATTAATTTACGTAACGCCACAGGTGAAAGGTTCATCTCTGGGAAAAAATAAAGAAAACTGTAAAGACAATCAGCTGACGGGAACAAATTAACTTTAATTTACAGTGAGCAGAAACTGTAAAGAAAGTTTCACTTCACCTCCGCCTTTCATTCACAAAGAAATCGACAGAAGAAAAACAAGTTAAGACACCTCTTTTAATACAAATGGCAGTGTATTATTTCATAATTACAAATGTCAGATATGGTACAACAACCAGTGATATAACTTGTACAAGAATTAACAATGACCGCAGTGGTTGAATAACATGACTGTACAGACTGAACATGAAAAAAAAAAAAAGAAGAAAATCAACTCCCTGTTTGAATACCAAAAATCCATTTGTTCATCCTCCTTTTGCTGTAAATATAATACCCCCCCCCCACCACTACAGAAATAAAACTGCAGAAGATCTGAATTTGTACAGGTTGCATTACCTACAAACTAATTCAAGTGATATTCCACTTTGTAGGCGCTTGCTGGCGAGCCTCATCCCAGTTTTGACTCGCCACCAACGCTCCGACAGAAAGGCAGGAACAAACTAGGAACATTTGTTATCCAACAGGCCAGCTCCACTGGTCACTCCCGGCCATTCACAAAGTCGACCTCCGATAACCAGCGACACATGTTGGCACAAGAAGGTCATCACTTACATACACAAGGATCCTGAAGTATTACAAATTGATACATGCTTGAGTAATAAAACATGTTTTTTTTTTGTTTTTTTGTTTTTTTTAAACAGGCATTACAATGCACTTAGTGCGGACATTCAAAACAGTTGAGCTGATTTAAGTTTTTACGTTTTTTTTCCATTTTTATATGTATATGAAGAAATTTCAGTGGATGGGAAGTAAATGAGGTATTAAAAAATACGAAGGCAGGATGTCAGAAACTAAATTGGTAATTGGCACATTTATAATAAAGGCTGTTGGCTTTTTTTTTTTTCTTGAGTAAATTCTTCTAGAAAAGGAAAATGTTTTAATCTGGAGAAGGTTGCTTTTGGTATCATTGTCAGAACAGTTAAAAGACACTTCTCAAAGTCATTGTCAAAACATGTCATACAGTGCAATGGATCTGACAGAACATCTTCACTCCTATGTGGATTGATATGAAATACCTTACAAACAAAGATACAGGCATGGGTGATGGGACGCAGTTAAGTTTCCACCTCGGAGCTTTAGTTGCATGTTAGAAATGCAAAATTTACAAGTTTGTTTTGAGGCTAAAATCTACATGAATGAAACCAGCTTCAAAGTCTGCCTGAGAGCAAAGCAAATTATAGATTTCTTTATAAAAAAGGACAACAAAGACAAATTCAGGAATCAAATAAGCAAGAAACTACTAAATGTTCATATCTGATTTCTGGGAGAGAAAAAAAAAAGAAAAATTTCAGAACACATTGGTTTAATCGACTGGGAACTCAATGCACACCTTATCAGACGTACGCAGCCTCCAAGTCTGAATGTATCTGAGAGATGTTCAAGTTCAAATGTCATTTTTAAAAACTGCAATGAATAATTACAGACCGCTTTCGTGTGAATTGGATTTCTCTTTAAAAGTTGCTGAACTGTACAAAAGTAGAGCTAATGAAGTCTAATTCACAAAGTGGAGCAAAGCCACGTCATCGAACGGTGAAATATACACAAATGTGCAGCCATCATGCTGAAGTGGGGGGTATTCACAGCATTAAAAACGGGTGTTGAATGCGACGGGGCAGAGCTGAACGGCATCTGCTTCTACAGCAAAATCTAGAGATGAACATAGAAGGAAAAGTACGGGGAAGAAATTGTCTGATGGTTTACTTGGGGGGGGGGGGAATCCTTTTTTCAATAGTAAGAGAGAAATGTAGATAAATCATCCTTAAACCTGATGATCGCAATTGTAGTAAATAAGTACTCAATACATCAACTTTTTTTTTCTTTTTCCCAGTAGTGGAAACAACACATTTTCACTATAAACTCGCATAAAGGCGCATTCCACAAGATTTCAGACAGCGGAGTCAAAAGAATAACCAGAAATGGTCCGAGAGTCGAGGCCCACTTACAGAGCGTTTCCGAAAGACCTGGAATGGGCAGGTAATGTTTTTCTATTAAAACAATAATTAATGTAACTTGGCAGCACGCACTACGCCGCAGAAGAAAAAGCACATTTAAGCCAGCCTAAAGTTTTCTGTTGAACATTTGGACAAGCCAGAGAAATATTGGGTGAATAGAGTCTGAAGACATAAGACCAAAATTTAACTGAAAGAAGGAAAAAAAAAAAGCATAACGTCTCAAAACTTTCTCAGCAAAAATTTAAAAGTGGAAAATGCGCAGATGCACAGATTGCCTGAGTCTGAAGGTGGTGATTTTTTTTTTTTTAAGTATTGTGCTCTAACACAAAAAGCGATGACTTATCATGCAACTCTTAGCAGAACGAGTTGTTTTTTTCTTGTATTCCAAAAACAAGGGTAGCGAATTATTTAGCTTCCAAGGAAAAATGTGTCTACTTTATTTCAGCCTAACAACAGAGCAGCAAGTGAAAGCGCAGTGCTGAATTAAAAAGGGGGAAATCATAAATCACCATACAATGATCACCTTGAGCAAAAAACTGTAACAGATATGCAATTAGCAGGTGTGTTCTTGTTGGAAACGCCGTTAGGCATCACAAATTTTACGATTTGAACCCTGCTGGAGCTTAGGGAAGATTTATTTGAAATTCCAACATCAATTGCGGATTTCAACGTTGGCTCCGTGTTTTATTAATACCGAGCTGCTGCACAGATTCCCAAAAATAAATACACGCGATCTTAAAAATGACTTGGAACACGTACCGCAAACTAGTCTCTGGACACACACATCTGGTTCATCCTATCCGGTCGCACGGATTGTACGCATGGTTTAAAAAGACTCGCTGCTGCAGCTGTTCCACTCCCGGGAAAAGTTCAAGCATCACAGCTTTAACAGTGATGAAAACCTGGATTAAGTTCCAACTGTATCCCTTGGGTCTAGTTTGAGATCCGCCTGCGACTTCAGGCGTTTAGCGACTAAAAGTTAGTTTGGTATAAAGTGGAGCTAATGTGCTAACAAAGATCAAGTTAAGGACAAACATACGGCACATATAAAAAAAAATAAAGAATGGAAAAAAAAAAAAGAAGGCCTGATGCTACATTGTGAAAAATAAAAAGACTAATGAAACTAAAATGTGCTTCTTGAAAGAAACCGCCTAATGAACATTATCCATACTCATTCCAAATAATAATTAAAAAAAAAATCAAAAGAAAAAAAGGTAATGTATGCATTCAAGTGGTACTTTTATGGCTTTTTGTACAATACAACCTTTAGTGAAAATATACATCTAGACATAAATTCAAGTACAAATGTACAAAATCTTTAAAGTCATACTTTTTTCTTTAGCTATAATACACTTTTAATACAGCTCATAAATACAGGTCGACATTCACTGAGTTCCTAAGATTCTCGCGCTCGGTTGGAGATTGTGGTGAAGCTCTGCGGCGGAGGGGTGCGGGCGGAGGGACGGAGTGGTTTAAAGTCGCGAGGGCCCTT